AATCGAGAGCTAATTTCAAAATACAATTTTTTATATACAACTTATTGTATTCTTTATTTTTTGAAATTCTGTTAAAGTAAAAAATCAAGTCTTACGTTTAGTAAAGGACAAATTTCTATTTACCATGGTCCCTTTAAATTACTTTTGTCAAGTCTCACAACCAGCTAGAGATAACAAATCTTTTTTATCATTTAAATACTTGTACTATTATCTATAATTTACACTAATGATATTATGATTTATGCCAGCCTTTCATTCAGTGTTAATACATTAAAACAGGGGGAGGAACAAAACCCTACAGGCACATAATAGATCTTACAAAATATTTTAAATTTTTTTCTTAATTGTAATGTTGAGTCTTACTGCTACTGAACATGATCAATAAATTAAATCAAATTTCAAAAGATAGAATTTAAACCAGTCATTGTTAAAATGACTGAAAATTCTGGCTCAGGAAGGTAAATTTCCAGCTGCAGAGTTTATAGCCATGCAGCTTCACAGGCTTATCAGGTAAGTAAAAATTATGAACAAACTTATATGGAACCATTTCTTAGGTCCACTTTTAACATACATTGCAATGTGTACCGGAAAGTCCACCCATGTAACTAGATTACTTGTACTGACTGTAATGGTCAGTTATACCTATATGTTGATCCTACAGTAAACAGGCTGTCTGGGAGTATTTTCTGAGCAAAAGACATCATATGAGAAACTTAAATAAGCTGATTATGCTGATCCTTAGTAATTAAGATTATATATCTGGACAATTGTCCAAATAGAAAGATTGTTGAAATATAACTTTCCTATAAAGGCCAGTTAGTTACATAAAATATCCACCAATGTATTATTGCCCTAAATAAAACATGGCATTTGCAGGTAAATGGGTGGTGTTGGAGAAGATAATGCTAAGTGAAGTTAGCCAATCCTCTCCCCCCAAAAGAAAAAAACAAATGCCAAATGTTCTTTCTGATATTAGGAGGCTGACTCATATGGAGTAGAAGGGGAAGTTTGGGAGGAATAGATGAATTCTAGATAGGGCAGAGGGGTGGGAGGGAAAGGGATGGGGCAGGGGATTAGCAAGGATGGTGGAATGTGATGGACATCATTATCCAAAGTTCATGTATGAAGACACAAATTGGTGTCAACATACTTTATATACAAACAGAGATATGAAAAATTGTACTGTATATGTGTAATAAGAATTGTAATGCATTCCACTGTCATTTATTTTTTTAAATCAATAAAAATACTCTAGAAGCCACTGTAATGAATAATGCACATGAGCCCCCCTGCTCTATGGTTTGTGGAAAGGCTTAAATGCCATGCCAAATAAAAATGTCTGTGTTACTATGGCCAAATGAAATGCTTCACAATAAAATTGGGAAAAGATTAAGAATCTTCTGATGAGTGTTGGCAAAGTAATAAAAATAAACTGGATCTTCCAAAGTTAATTATTTTATTGAAATGATATTTTCTATTAACTTCTTTTGTGTTTCAATAGTAGATCATGATAATCTCAGACCAAGAGTCTAGTGGCTGAAAGATATAATTCCCTAATTGCCTTTTTTATATTAAGAAAGGGCGAAGCTGCTACATAGGAACCAAGCACCTCTTAGTCTTGAGTGATGAGAATGTGAAGCTGTGGCAAGCCAGCCATGGGCTGTGTGTGTGAACTATGAGCATTGAGCACACAGGGTGGACTGAACCCATGTTGCCCCTCTCTTTGGGTGGGCAACAGTAAGTCTTTTAGCTTGCTCTGCCTATGATTCCCTCACAGCACATGAGATGGGCGTGGCCTTCCTAGATGTCAGTCAACTTGCTGACAGCAAGGCTAGATTCAACCCCCTGAAACCAGATCCCTTGGCTTATTTGAATGGCTTCTCCCCAATAAAAGGGTTCATGCTATTTTTCTTTTTTTGCCTGCCTTGCCCCCCTTGTGGGAACTGCAGCTGAAAAGCAATTACTCAACTCAAAGAAAAGTTACTTTCTGTGTCTGTGTCTTTATTTAGTCCCCAAATTCACTTGGAGTGATCCTGATTGGTTTAGTCATGTGATGCAACAGGGAAGAGAGAAGCTCGTAGTAAAAATTCACAGGAAGAGTGGAAGAGAAGCTGACAGAGATTGGCTGTTGGTTGGAGGAAAGTTGGAAAGAAAATAGACAAGAGAGGGGAAGAATATGAACAAAGAGAAAAAAGTTAAAGACATAAGAGTACAACAAAAATGCAAAACCCTATTCATATATCATTGACCGCCACACACTGATGCATAAAAAAATCCTGTTCCAAATATGGTAGAGAGATTTAAAATAAAATAAATCTTTCTGGAAAGTTGAACTGTCTCTCAGTTCTCAGCCCTGTCTCTGACATCTCTTGGGATCACCAAACCCAGATCAGCCATCATAAAACCCGGACTCTATCCCACCCATCTGGGCTTCCACAGGCTCAGCCACGCTGCAGTCCCAAGATCTCAATGCTGCTTCTACTTGCAGAGAGACTACCAGGGATACACTCATGTAAAGGAGCAACCTCAAGATGCAGCTGCAAGACAAGCGCCATCAGCACTCTCAGCAGGAAGACCCCAGGCTCCTCCAAACCCACATGCACCCCCACACTGGACCTGCAGGTCCCAGCTTGAGGCTCCAGACAGAGGCTCTTGTGGTGGTAAACCTGCTGGCACCCAGACCCCGGGCCTGGCTGGTGTCCCAAAATATGTGTAGCCATGTACAACCAAACCTGTAGTCTCCTCTGAAGCAGTCCTGCAGGCCGTGGAAGCAGAGGTACTAGCGGTGGTTGTTGGCAGCCGGCAGCGGATCAGCAGCCGCAGCTGCAGCGGTAACTGCCACTGCAGCTGTGGGGGCAGCATCACCAGGCGATCCCCAGGGGTCAGCAATGTATCAGCTTCAGTTACATCCAGCAGCAGCCAGAAAGAAGACCTCCAGGCGACCGCAGGCTAACAGCAGCGGAATCAAAGGCAGTAGCCATGGCGGTTGTGGTGCAGGCGGCAGTTGATTGACGGGAGACTTCCGGTTCATAGCACCCACCATGCAGAAGCGCCGGAAGTAGTTCCCAGGACACTGAGGCCGTTTCCAGAGAAGAGACTTCTGGGCACAAACGCCGTGTCTGCGGCAGCAGACCCCTTTTTTGTTTTATATGGCCTTTTGATGAATAATACCTGTTTCCTCTTTGGAGGAGGCAAAAAAAATAGGGCAGGCATTGACAGTCACAAGTATAACATTACAATCCCAGTAACAGACACCCACCTATGAACAAAGAGTATGATTTTTTTTCTTTTTGGATTTCCCACAGCTGGGCTACAACAGCAGAACAACGTTATTCTAAGGATGAAAACATTCACAGAGTTTTGTGTAAGTTTAGCAAACAAAGCGGTAACCAAATTTTCCAGAGTGCTTCCCCATGAGCCAGCAGCTGTTGAGCTGAAGCTGTTAATGATTTTATATCTCCCCAAGTCACAGGAGGTCTAGTATCTTAGGGCCCTCTTGTAGTGTTTCTTCTCTTTTGAGAAAGGTGATCATCTTTTGGTTCAGTGGAATCCTCCTCATCCAAGGTCAAATGGAACTTGGGGATTGGTTGTGAAGTCCCTGAAGCCAACTCATGATTGACAGGTCTCATGCATGGAGCTGGAGTCTAAGCAGGACCTGTTGGTGTAAGCATAGCAGTCTATCCTGTTCCCCATGTAATCAGGGGTGTAGGGTCTTCTCATTCTGGGTCTGGTGGAACCCTATATTTCACATAAATTTTGGGTAATGGCTGTTTGGGAATAAAATGTCTACCCAAGGCAGATGAGCAATTGTGAGTATTAATTTTGTATTGCATGCTGAGTGCATTAACTATAAATCAAACAATATGTAAGGCATTATTAACATGAGAGTGGCTAGTTCCCCTTTTTGGTTTTTGTTTTAAGAGTACAATGTGCTCGTTCAATTTTCATTGATACTCACTCTGGGTTTATTTGGGCTAATGCTTATAGGTCTAAAAAATCTATCTACTTGCATTTCTTATTTATTACTCTGCTTTGCCACTATGGACAAGCCTGCTCATTAAAAACAGATGATGCCCCTGCATATACATCTTGTGCTTTTGCACAATTTTGTAACCAATGAAATTTATAATTTTAAATCATGAAATTCCTCATAATCCCCTCTCATCCAGTAAGTGCTGGGAGTTGAAATCCTCATGTGTGGAGAAGAACTTGGGGGTCATTCAACAGGAAGCCCAACATAAAGATCTCATTAGTGCCATCGCAGGGAAAAGAAAGGGGGATTTGACATGATGAGTGGGTGATGAGACAGGGAGACAGGAAGAGAGAGGGCGGGAGAAATTGAGACACAGAAAGCTTAAGACAGCCCAGAGGAAACATAAAAAGGAACAACCATTGATAAGACTGTGGAGAGAAGACCAGACACTGTTTCCACAAACTTGAGGGACAGGTGAGTAAAAAAGGAAAACTGGGGAAATTCAAGACACCATGTATGCCTGCCCACATCCCCCCAAGCTGTGTCCCCCTCACCATAGCCTTTGAAGAGGCAGTCAAAGGTGGCCTGCTGGCCTCTCCCACTGAACTCCTTAGCCTGATCCACCAGCGCCTCCTTCACTGTATTATATCCACACAACACCACGACCTGGCGAGTCCCCAAGTGGATGGTGAACACAGGGCCATAGTGCCTGCTCATCTGTAGGGGGTGGATGCGAATGGTTAGAGGGCTGGTTTCCTGTCCAGCTTCCTCATGTCAGGGTCCAGGATGCATTTCTCTCAGGCTCTGATACTCAAGGAGCTAAAAACCCAAGATCTGGAATTTTCTGGCCAGGAACTGGCCGCTGAACCTGAAAAATCCCTGTGTCCTAAGAATCAGATGCATCCTGGTCAATACTCTGCCACAAAGCCACAGTGAATCTGGGAAGCCCCCAAGCCCACCCAATTCCACCCACCTCTCTGCCTGGTTTGACCTTCACAAAGCTGTTGTACATCTCATTTTTTTCCAGCTGCAGGTAGTTTCCAAGAAAGGGCAGTGGAGTGGGACCTGGAGGCAGCTTTCCCTGGAGACTCCTGTGCTTCCAGACAGACTTCAACACCATTGCACTCAGGCAGGCCAGCAAGGCCACCAGAATCAGCTCAAAGTCCAGCATGGTGCTAGTGTTACAGGTAGGTGGTGATGGCTGGGTAGTTTGCATTTATATACTGTGGGATATAACTGTGGCCTTTGGTTCTGTTTATGCAGTTGCTTCTTTCCTATCTGAACCACTCTTTCCAACATGAACCTTGACTATTTTGGAGAGTGAATGAACTCCAGGTCAGCAGCTGATCCTGTGGTGTTGGCCAAGCCTGGTAAATATTCCTTACCAAAGTCAAGGATGTTATTAGCCTCGACTCTTGACTTTGGTGCTAACAATTATCAGATGGACTGGGACAATGGGAATCCTGGATGCAGCAGAATGTTCCTAGTACTGCAGAAGTAGGATAGCTGCGAAAAATGTTTCTAGCTCTGTAACTTTTTGGGAACAAAGAAATCTCTTGGTTACTCAAAAGCTGTGAACAATTTGCAAAGCTTCTGCAGTTAAACTTCCTGACTATGAGACCCTGTATAATAAACTTGCAGAGCTAGTTGTGGGTCACTGTTCCTCCATCAGAGTGTATTGTTCCACCTGGCCCCAGCTTTGCTTGATAATGCCTCTGTGTTTTTCTCCATCTCCTGTCACCCCTACTTGAGAATCCTTTACTGATGCTGTGTGGATCTTGGTAGACTAGGTTACAAAAGTTGCAGCCAAGAAAAAAATTAACATGTAACAGAGCTCCAGGAAGAATTCACATCACTAGAATAGGAGGTGTCTCAGGATGTGCTATATGGAGGTAGGAAACCAAGGCAGAACAGAGGACATTAGGGTATTTGCATGTCTGATTACCCAAGCTTTGGATTTGTGGTACCAGATTGAGAAGAGATCTCACTGGTGTGCATTTTGCAGTCTATGATAGAATTCAAGTCCCATATTTTATAGAGATTATAAAGGATGTGAGACTGGATATGGGGGTCTTTCATTGACTTACTGTAAGGGACTCAGGAAGGGAGAATTCTGGGTGATGGACTGGAGGGTCTTAGGATCAGAAGCTTTTCATAATGAGGATGTGAAGTGCCTGAGAGGGGAAGTGTGTGGAAAGACCAGTAGGATCCTGTAGTGAGCACAGGAGGCCAGGTGTGTACCTCCTTGGCTTTGGCCCTGTGCTATCTCTTGATGTCCAGACTCTTCATGGGAGCCTCAGGATGAGGCCAGGTGAACTTAGCAGAATTGCAGTCCTGTAGTAGTCATGTGTGGCTGGGACAGGCATAGAAGACTAGAGTCACATATCAGTGGAAGTTTGTACAGAGTTGCTCTGAATGACCATGCCTTCCAGTCCTGAAGCACAGAACTCTGACCAATCACTACATTTCACAGTGACTTGGGCATTGTCCCAGCTCGGATATCAAGGTATGACTTCAGGTGCAGGTGTACCCACTGGGGTTGAGTCACACTCACCTGCTCCCTTGTAATCCTACCCCCTTCTGCCCTTTTATGGATAGAGCTTTCTAAGAACAGGGTCCCCCCAAATAAAAGCTCACTTTCAAATGTGCTTCCCTCTTTCTTTCATCAGCCTCTCATGGCTTTTTCTTGCTCTCCCTTTTTCTTTGATCTCCCTTTCATCCTGAAGCTTGTGTAAAGGTAAATTGTGTTTGTGTTTTATTTTGCATCACCCCAAATTCACATGAGCGACCTTAGTTCAGCTGCCTGTGCTGGATGGGGGTGGCAGGTGGTGCCCGGAACTGGGATGCTCAGTGTAAATTTGGCAGTTTGGCTTGAGTAGAGTGCACTTTAGAATTTCAGAGAATGTGTGTTTGAGTTGTGAAAGAAAGCAGACAGCTGACCGGGAAAGCAAGGGATGTTAAAAATAATAGTAATAACATGGGCAATTCCACATCTTCAGAAAATATATTTTCTAATGAACCTGGAGAATTTTTTTTTTTTTACAGGTGGAGATTTTTTTTTTCATTTTTTAAAAATGCTTTCATTTTTATTGTTGGTTGTTCAAAATATTACATAGTTCTTGACATATCATATTTCACACATTTGATTCAAGTGGGTTATGAACTCCCATTTTTACCCCGTATACAGATTGCAGAATCACATCGGTTACACATCCACTGTTTTACATATTGCCATACTAGTGTATGTTGTATTCTGCTGCCTTTCCTATCCTCTACTTTCCCCCCTCCCCTCCCCTCCCCTCCCCTCCCATCTTCTCTCTCTAACCCATCTACTGTAATTCATTTCTCCCCCCCGTTTTTTCCCTTTCCCCTCACTTCCTCTTGTATGTAATTTTGTATAACAATGAGGGTCTCCTTCCATTTCCATGCAATTTCCCTTCTCTCTCCCTTTCCCTCCTACCTCTCGTCCCTGTTTAATGTTAATCTTCTTCTCATGCTCTTCCTCCCTACTCTGTTCTTAGTTGCTCTCCTTATATCAAAGAAGACATTTGGCATTTGTTTTTTAGGGATTGGCTAGCTTCACTTAGCATAATCTGCTCTAATGCCATCCATTTCCCTGCAAATTCCATGACTTTGTCATTTTTTAGTGCAGAATAATACTCCATTGTGTATAAATGCCACATTTTTTTATCCATTCATCTATTGAAGGGCATCTAGGTTGATTCCACAGTCTAGCTATTGTGAATTATGCTTCTATGAACATCGATGTAGCAGTATCCCTGTAGTATGCTCTTTTTAGGTCTTTAGGGAATAGACCGAGAAGGGGAATAGCTGGGTCAAATGGTGGTTCCATTCCCAGCTTTCCAAGAAATCTCCATACTGCTTTCCAAATTGGCCACACCAATTTGCAGTCCCACCAGCAATGTATAAGTGTACCCTTTTCCCCACATCCTTGCCATCACTTGTTGTTGTTTGACTTCATAATGGCTGCCAATCTTACTGGAGTGAGATGGTACCTTAGGGTGGTTTTGATTTGCATTTCTCTGACTGCTAGAGATGGTGAGCATTTTTTCATGTACTTATTGATTGATTGTATGTCCTCCTCTGAGAAGTGTCTGTTCAGGTCCTTGGCCCGTTTGTTGATTGGGTTATTTGTTTTCTTATTGTTTAATTTTTTGAGTTCTTTGTATACTCTGGATATTAGGGCTCTATCTGAAGTGTGAGGAGTAAAAATTTGTTCCCAGGATGTAGGCTCCCTATTTACCTCTCTTATTGTTTCTCTTGCTGAGAAAAAACTTTTTAGTTTGAGTAAGTCCCATTTGTTGATTCTAGTTATTAACTCTTGTGCTATGGGTGTCCTATTAAGGAATTTGGAGCCCGACCCCACAATATGTAGATCGTAGCCAACTTCTTCTTCTATCAGACACAGAGTCTCTGATTTGATATCAAGCTCCTTGATCCATTTTGAGTTAACTTTTGTGCATGGTGAGAGAAAGAGATTCAGTTTCATTTTGTTGCATATGGATTTCCAGTTTTCCCAGCACCATTTGTTGAAGATGCTATCCTTCCTCCATTGCATGCTTTTAGCCCCTTTATCAAATATAAGATAGTTGTAATTTTGTGGCTTGGTCTCTGTGTCCTCTATTCTGTACCATTGGTCCACCCACCTATTTTGGTACCAGTACCACGCTGTTTTTTTTACTATTGCTCTGTAGTATAGTTTGAAGTCTGGTATCGCTATATCGCCTGATTCACACTTCCTGCTTAGAGTTGTTTTTGCTATTCTGGGTCTTTTATTTTTCCATATGAATTTCATGATTGTTTTATCTATTTCTACAAGAAATGCCGTTGGGATTTTGATTGGCATTGCATTAAACCTATAGAGAACTTTTGGTAATATCGCCATTTTGATGATGTTAGTTCTGCCTATCCATGAACAGGGTATATTTTTCCATCTTCTAAGATCTTCTTCTGTTTCTCTCTTTAGGGTTCTGTAGTTTTCATTGTATAAGTCTTTCACCTCTTTTGTTAGGTTGATTCCCAAGTATTTTTTTTTTTTTTTGAGGATATTGTGAATGGAGTGGTTGTCCTCATTTCCATTTCAGAGCATTTGTCGCTGATATACAGGAATGCCTTTGATTTATGTGTGTTGATTTTATATCCTGCCACTTTGCTGAATTCATTTATTAGCTCTAGTAGTTTCTTTGTAGACCCTTTTGGGTCTGCTAGGTATAGAATCATGTCATCTGCAAATAGTGATAATTTAAGTTCTTCTTTTCCTATTTTTATGCCTTTAATTTCTTTCGTCTAATTGCTCTGGCCAGTGTTTTGAGAACTATGTTAGACAGAAGTGGTGAGAGAGGGCATCCCTGTCTTGTTCCAGATTTTAGAGGGAATGCCTTCAATTTTTCTCCGTTCAGAATGATGCTAGCCTGAGGCTTAGCATAGATAGCTTTTACAATATTGAGGTATGTTCCTGTTATCCCTAGTTTTTCTAGACTTTTGAACATAAAGGGGAACCTGGAGAATTAATTAACCATAGCAGAGAACAAGTCAAAAGAGCCCAGCTGGCTCAATTTCTAAAAACAGTTAATAATGTCTGCCTGTGGTTTTGTGAGCAAGATCCATGTACTTGGGAGATTTTGTGTACTTGGGCAAGGCTAGGTAGGAGGCTGTTTGAAGGCTGCCTCTCTACTAAGCTATCTAGGGGCACAATAAAAAATATTCAAAAAGTCTGGACTGCCTTAGAATTGTGTCTTTTTGATATGTAAGACAAGGACCCCTGGTCTCCAGATTTGTTAGGGACTACAGTAGACCATTAGAAGCCTGGGGCAAGAAACACAGCCAGTGGGGTCCCCAGGCGGTTTTCTCTACCTGTAGCCAGACTAAGGGCAGAGTCAATTCACACCCAGTCTGTACCTCCTATACCTCAGACAGAGAGCCTTGAGACAAGGCCAAAACCCAAAAGTTCAGTCTCAGCTGATGGAGACAGAGACAGTGATTCAACAGTGGGCCAGCAAAACTTGTTCTCGGGGGCTGTGCTAGAGAGGAAACCAGCCCTGATTCAGTTACAGTGAGGGAGATCCAAGATGGATGGGAGGAGAATGTTCAGGAAGATCCTGAGGAGACTGAGCTGCCAGAGTCTAAGGATTCCCAGTCAGAGGGTGAGAATGAGTTGGAGGAAGGC